CTGTGCCACTGGTCTGAGTGTGCAGGTCAAGGGTGTGAAATGTCCCTTCCTTTTGGAAAGATCTTGGACATTAACCATTCCCTAAGAGCTGTGGCTAATGATTTACTTTTATCACACTGAAAAAAAAAATCAGCCCCTTAGTTTGTAGTACCCCAGTGAGGCCTGGAGCAAACTGGGCTGAGTTGGGTAGTTTGGCTTTTAACCAGTCATTCAACACCTTGGCTTGTAGTCTGCTGTGCTGGAGACATATGACGAAGCTTCATTTTAATATAGCCTTTATTCAGAGGAAACAAGGCACTGCAGAGGACTGATGTTGGTCTTCAGCAGGTCAAGGGAAGGCAGAAGACTTCCTTATGTTCCTGGGGAGCACAGGGTGGCCCTGGCCACTCCTTTTAAGGCTGAGAAAAGCATTCACGGACTGGAAATGCGATGATTCAGAGAAATTGGGCAGAGAGGAATGATGAATAAGTGGCTCTGAGCACTAGTCACTAATGTCACTGCAAGGGATGCTCCCAGGTTGGAATTTTCTGCAGTAAGGGCTTCTGAGACGGTTTGTCATACAGCTCTGACTAGTCTGTGTCAGGCTGGAGGACACTGGCATTGCTTGTTGCCTTCCAGCAGCCACCAGCTTGTGCCTTCTCATGAGGTAAGGGTTAGAGGGGTGCTTTGAGAGAAAATGGATTTAGCATTCATTTGTTTCCTCCCTCTGATTCCCACTGAAAGAAACATTAGTGAGACAGAAAGCCACTCAGTGCATGTGCAGTCAGCTTTGGGCCAAACTTACCCTTCCATAAAGTCTCATCGAGGTCAAGAGTTGTAACAGGACTGTGCTCAGCAAGGATTAGTTTTCATCTTGAGGGACATTGCAGCAAAGCAGAATAAGCCATGAAGAAATTTAAAACATTTTATGGTGGTTTTAACATCGTGGCTGCTAGTCACAATGTACACAGTATGTAACTTGGGCTACCAGTACTGTCCCCAGCACTCAGTTCAGGTAAGGCTGTGAAATTTTTTCCATTTAATCCCTGCTCAAAAGAACATGTCTCAAAACAATCCACTGGTTTGGATCTCATCCTGGGAGACTTGATGGGGGAATACAAAAGCTCTTTCCTACCTCAAAGTGATGGACAACTGTACAAAATAGCATCCATTGCCCTAGGAAATCCCAGGTTCAGGTCAGCCAGACAGGCAAGCTGTAAAACATATCATTGCTTGTATTCCTCATGGAGAATGTCTCTTTGGGAAGAAATATCACCTTTCAGTTTAGGTGAGAGCAAGGCATTTTCAGTCAGCAGACATTCTGGGAAAGCTGTGCATTTCCATACAGACCAAGGAATCACTGCAAGGCAAGTTCAGTGTAGAAGGATAATTGCTTTACAAAAGGAAACAATGTCAGTGCTGGTATGTACCAGAGCCTTCAGCTCAAGACCAGAATTTTGAAAGTTGCTGCCTCAGGTTCCACATTACCAGGTTGCTACCTTGGGTATATGGCATAGATGTTTACCATCATCCCAGTGCAATGTCCCCCCTTGTTTTGCCATCCAAGTGAAGCTTTTTAGAGCATGGAGAAATTGCAATGCAAAGAGCAGCACCAGCTCCAAGGCAGTGATCCTGCTCTTGGGCCTGGCCCAGGAATGTTTTCCATAATCTCACTCTTCACAGAACTGTTGCAAGACAGTGGTTGTTTCCTTAGGACATTGCCACAGGGCTGATGCATGTGGGTGGAACAGCAAGGGGAAGCACAGAAGTTTGCTATTGGTTTTGCCTTCTGAACACCTCCAGTATGGATTGCAGTGTCCTCATTTAAAGTCTTTCTCTGTATTTACAAAGTTCTGAGACCAAACATACGTAAGGGATGCAACACTCACTGACATAAGGGAAGGCAAAAGAGAAATGGATTCCAAGATCATGGAAATTTCAAGTTCCTACAGCTAGAACTTCTCAATACTTGAACTGACTGGAGCAATCCCAGATTTGTGAGTTAGGGCTATGCTACTTTAATTTCCACAATGGGTTTCAGTTTGCACAGGATTGAGGCTGTACTAGACAAACTATTTCCTGTAGAAACTTAGTTTTAACAGGAAACATGTAGCCCATAGTGGTCATTTTTGCACAGTATCCTTACCTGAAAGGCCAAATCTGTGTTCTCCAACAAGTATCTTTTCCATGTCTATAGCTTAGGGGTTTTGCACTCTTTACTTTTAGACTAACTTTCCCTCTGTCATTTCAGTGTTTCTAAGTACTGTCTGCTTTATCACAGGGTTTGCTGGTACTGGTGTAGGTACTTTGCATGCAGTCTCAGAAGTCAATGCAGAGCATGAGTTCTGAAACATGAGGGAGGCTTCTCACTGTGTAGATGTTAACAAAGATGGAAAAAAATTATTTAAAAACTTTCAGCCACACATTTTGAGTCACTTCAGCATTTGCAATATGAGGAACTTTATGTTTTGTCGACTACCAGCATTGCTTAACTCAAGATTTTTTCTACGTGAATTTCTCAAGGCTGTGTTCCCAATTCATACTACATAGGAACTGGCCCCATCCTGCAGATGAGGCAATGGTGCCAAATAAACTGAAGTGCTATAGGGAACAGCTGTGTGGCTAAGACAGTAGCTTTGGTGAGTTTTTTAACTTGTATGTTTTCAAAACATTCTCTCTTCCCTAGATCAGACCACCCCAGCCACAGTGGTCTCACTGTTCCAGGTGAGCTGTTCCAGGAAAAAGTGTGTCAAAGCATTTCTTTGCACTGCACAACAGAAGTTACAACTAAGTTCATGACGCGATCCATGTTAGAGGTGACAGCAAGTTACTCAAAAGAAAGGTACCAGTTTTGCTAAACTTCTTGAGAGGTCTAAGCTGACTAAAAGCCCATGAGACCAGCTTGTCTTACCTCAGGCAGGACTGCCCCTTACCAGAAGGGAGGGTCACACCCCCCATTGCATTCTGATGACTCACTGTACTTCTCTTCAGGACTAGTGAACAAATAGTCCTGGGGTAGTCTATTTATTGTACTGATTACATTAAAAGATAGATGTAGTGCATGTCAGGTGTGGATTAAGCTTCTTCCCCCAAGACTATTTTCTATTAGAAGAACAGGTGGAGTTAAGAAAGGGCTCAGATTGCTTCCTGAAAACTGCAGTTCTGCCTACTTTGGCATGTTTCAGTTCTGACTTCAAGATGCTCCTTTTGGCTAAGTGAAAGACAACAGGTGACCTTCCTCAGCAGTGAGCTGCCAGTGCTGCACAACTGTCACCTATTTCATGTCACTGCTCTGTAGCTACAGTGCAGACCTCCCTTTCTCAGAAGCAGAAGTAAGGTTATTTTACTTTGAAGAGGTTTTCTATGCAAAAGGAAATTTACCAGTGAAGATGAGGAATTAAGGACCATCTACTTCACCTTGCAGTGAGTGTGCAGTAGTTGGGTATTACAATCTGTGCAGCAGATTCTATACTTGCCTGATGATTTACTGTCATCATCCCCCCATGTACACTTCCACTTCATCAAATATGTCCGGCAGATTTTAAACACTTTATTTAATAAAAGTTAAACATACAAAACTGAAATTAACACACTTTGTATTCATAAAAATCACCGTCTCCCATTATAGGGAGAACCTTTTCCTTTGTATGGATTCTAAACTACTGGTTGTAGAGTTTAGCTTGAGTTGTGACTCAGGTAACTGATGGACATTTCCACCAATCAGTGCATCAACAATTGCTGACGTGACCTGATCTAGTTAACAAATTACAAAATGAGCTACATTAACATAATATACAGGGAAATAATGGTCAGGGTCAATGGACAAGACACACCATTTAACAGGGGAAACAGCTGATGTTACTCTTGTCCATTAACTCAGCCCTAGATTTTACAAAAATAATATCTACATTGTATACAGGGCTACCCATTAACTTCTTTAAACACATTACAGGTTCAGAGGTGGCATCACTACCGTCAGTGAGAGACAAGTAACAGAGGAAAGCAAATCACATAGAACACAAGAAAGCAAGAGCTTGTACACGTGGTGTCCTGAATGAGACTGAAGGGGCTCAGCAGCACTGTAATACAGCTGAAGTTACCATGGACAGTAGGGCCAGTCAGGTATTTAAGGACAGAAACTCCAGACTAACCTTTACTCACTCACAACTAACTAAGTGGGATCTAAGCATTCGCATCCACGACACTGTGGCTGTCCGGGCTAAGTGGGGAGACCCACACAGAGGCTGTCAGTGCTGTGTTCAGGTCTGTGACACACAGGACCCACAGGAGGGGAGAGGATAGCTCCTTTCCACAGCACCAGTTACATTCTCCAACTCTCTGATCCCTGGGGAGGGATGGGGAATTTTAAATACAGTTCTCTACTTTGAGACTGGAGTCTAAAATACCTTGTCCTGTAATTTTCTGGTTAGATTTCATTAACCTCCTCTTAAAATTTGATGAGTCTTAAAAAAAAAACCAAAAAACAAACAAACAAACAAACAAACAAAAAAAAACAAAAACACAAAAAAACAACCAAGCGACAAGAAACAGCATCTCCCCTGCTTAACTTCAGGTGCAGGAAATTCAGACTGGAATTAACTTAGATTTATTGTTTTAGCATGTAAGTCATTGACAATAATAAAGATCCTATTGGCCCTGTCCTGCCCTCATTTACAGCTGTGCAGATCAATCTCCAGTGGATTTGTAAGGAGGTGTTTAAACTTCCTTAGCAATCCCATGTGACCTATGAGCTCGATGGAGTCTCTCTTCCAGAGCTCAGCAGCACTGCACTGCTGAGTGTCACAGAAACAGCAGACAGCACTGTGACCACAGGAACCAGGGAGGCTGTTAAGGTGCCATTCTTATACCACCACCTTTCTTAAAGGAAAAAAACACAACTTCACTACTGGTATGAATGAAAGATTCCAGAGACCAAAGCTGCAGACAAATTCTGCTTTCAGAGTAACAGGCAACAGCAGTTCACAAAAGTGTTCACCTGCTACAAAAGGTTTAATGGTTAGGGGGGGTCAAATCAATAGCTGGAGATTTAAGGCTCGTATCAGCTGAAGCCAAAGTGATGGTGACAAAATGGACTACTCGCTACGTGCCAACAAATAATTTACTTTTAGAAAAATATAATGATAAAAAGATAAGTGTAAAGCCCTGCAGAGATGAAGTTCCACCTTTTTCACCTGTTACTGAGGCATCAAATGCCTGACATTGTATTTAGAGGTATCTTGATACTGTGTCATAGGTTTGTCTGCAATTCCACATGTTCCAACTCCAACCTTGCCAGTTACGCTCTCAGGAGAAGCAAAAATACTCCTCTTTACCTGCAAATAAAACAGAAAACACCATTTCTGAATAATCACTAGCTAGCTTTTACAAAAACCAATCATCATTGTCATTTGAAGTGTTTCAACGTTCTCAACTTCTCACTCCACATTCAGGCACACCTAAAGGCTCTCCCATCCATGAGATGTCAAGCCAGTCAGGCAACAGAGCTGCAAACTTCCTGGCACCTAAATACTGGATGTGATCCTGGTACTCAGGACCTTGGGTCAGGCCAATAGTGACTAAAATTTACCTCTCACAAGGTGATTGCTAGTAATTGCTCATAAGGAAGACTGAAGTTTTACCACTATTTCCGGTAGCTCTTGGTCAAGCCACAATGGAAACGAAGTAAGATTTTAAAAGGTCTTTGCTCCCTTTTCTGCACCACACTTGCTGTTCCAGGGCAGTTCCTTAGCACTGTGCCTACCAGGTCATACACACAGCAAGATGTCAGGCCTGGAGGTGCAGAGGTTCCCTCAGGTGCTAAGCTGAAACACTACCAGGCAACTGGCAGTGAGCTCTCCCAGCCAAGTACAAGCTCAGCTCTGAGGAGCAGCACTCCTCCAAAACCATCCAGTAAAAGCCAGGCCTTGTAAGCGTACAAAGTACCAGACTGCACACTTCAGAATCTCAAGGCAAACCCCACCTCACAGCCCTCTGAAAACCACCTCCTCCTCTCTCCCAAAGTCCTGCACACAAGTCTATGCCCTGCTGTCATCACATACAAATAACACTAAACCAACCTGGCCTTTTTTGTTTTTAGAATAGGCTCTGTTGTTAAACTGTTGCCACTTGACTTTCTGGTCCTCTCGTTCCTGTTCAAGTTCTTTAATTCTCTGAGCTTTTTTCAAAGCTTTCTTCTTTTTATACTCTCGTTGCTGGGCTATCATCTCTTTTCTGGAGAAAAAGAAAAAAGAAAACGAACACATTTTATGTTTGTGCCTTTTCCTGTAACAAAAGTGCACAATAGTTTTCCAAAGGTAAATGACAGAAAACAAATCTTCCCATACTTAAGTACTACCTTGCTGATTTATGTATTTGGCATAAGAACCACCACACCACCCTGATAAGCTCATGCCAAATGCAGTGACCCATGGGATCCTGTGCAATTCACTTCAGAATCTGAAAACGGACTATCAGCACTCCCAAATTTCAGAAACTTTTCAGGTTTGGAAAACAGCCCACTGGAGTAACAGCCCTAACTTTTCTGGAGGTCTGTAGGACTCTTATGCTACCAAGTATTGGGCAGGGATGGAAGGAGAAGAACAAAGATTAGTTGACTTCAGTGAAGATAAGGAATTTCAGGGAGTCAATCCATGCCACAATGCAGTGCCCCTCAGAACAAACACTTAGGGACGGGGATCATTGGCTACAAGACTCTGAAATTGTATCCGTTTTTTCCAAAGTAAATTAACAAAAATGTTTTTAGCCCTTAAAACTGCTTTTCTGCGTTTAACAGCAGGAGATCAACTCAAGCTCATCTCTCCCACGACAGGGAAAACACAGCTGTCCTAACAGGGATGGGGCAGAAATGCTTCCTACTGATAAGCTTATTTATTAGCCAAACCACAGCTCTGGGAACAGCCTGCACTAGATCTGGGCTGAAATTCTCTGCTCTCGATTAAAAAGTACTTCTATTTTCAATCTACAACTTACACATCTGGTATGTTGAGTATCATAATCTGAGTACAGACAAAGTCTGTCATGTTATTTTGCCAGGACAGATGATACACATGATACCAGCCTCAATAACCTACCAAACCTTATATGCTACATTGATTTAAGATCCTTTTTCAAGCAAATGTGAAGGTATTAAAGATGTAAATTTTTTAAAATAACTATTTCCCTAACCAATTTTTACAGCTGAAGGAAAAAAGAAACCCAAACCAACCCACAAAGCAGCATTCAGACTTCTGTCTGTGTATTACTCACTTGGACATGGGTTTGTTGCCACTGTCCTCTTTTGCTTTCCTTCCCTCTTCCACAGGCTTGAGGTTGAACAGAGGTGTAACTTCAGCATTGCCATATCCAGCAAATGTGACTGCAGCTGTTCCATTGTCCTCATCTATTTCTTCAATCTCAGCTTCATAACACCTGTAAAGATATCATGGCTGTAAGCATGTGAGTAAAGCTTTAATACTCAGCCCTTCAACACCTACAATGCCACTAAGTCAAAACTTTGCAGATAGCAGCCTTCATTTTCAGGGACAATACACAAATCAAACCAAGAGATTATTTTCTTAAGGTCAAAGGGACACAAGTATGAAGATCAGAATCTGCTGTATTTGACCTTTAGCTTCAAGAAGCAAAGGGCCTCACAGTTACCAAGACTAATGATTAATGCTGGGGCCAATCTAATCAGATATCCAGATTTGGTTTTAGTTCTGGCAGCTCATGGGATAGGAAAACACAAGACCCAATAAAATGCTGCACTTACAGAGCACAGTTTTCATGGAATTCACTGAGGAGTTTTAGAAAAATGTCACCTCACAAGAGCAAAGCTTTGGTTCAATTTTTCTCCATGTGAAAAAGAATTCAGAAAAACTGAAGCTATCAAAACATCCCCTCTTCAACACTCAAATTAAGTTTTCTTATTGACTCTAAATAGCAATTTTGAAATTTTCACAGTAATCAGACCATTTCCTATTTATGTGTATGAAACATTTTGGTTACACTGATGTCAAAATGAGAAGAGATTTTAAAAAAATAAAGAACAAGTGACATTTCCAAAAATATTTTAAATAATTGTGTCTGAATTCAGGGCAAAAGGATAACATCTAAAACAATAAAATGAAATGCTTTATAGACAACATTCCAATTAACATTTATGAAATTAATTTCTTGTGCATTTTCAGTGGGCCAAGGTCTTTGAGCTGAGCCAGATGAAAATGCATGACAACTCAAGGGTCTGGGTAGTTCTTCATGACACTCTGCTCACTTAAGAGCACAGACTGATCTGCTTGGGTTCCCAGACCAAACCCAAAAGGTTCATTAATTCTACAGTCAGATTACACAGATAGTTATTTCATAGCCAAACCCCAGCATTTCCAATTAAAAATTCATTTCCCATTAGAGGCACAAGCTGAGACACAGCAAGGATTTTTCTTCACAGCAATCAATGCCATATATGAATGCAATGATGAATTGTGAATTACACATCCCAAAACCTTCACAAAAGACTTCCCTGACAGATCAATTCATTACATTTGCCATTTATTACATTAACAAATGCGAATTTAGCAAAGCTACCCTACTTTTATAAGTTTAGGGACAAACAGGGCATTTCTAGAAAATAACCTTTGCTATCTAGCTAAAATACTGACCTTTGATAAAGACAGTGCAAGAATACCTAATTTCATTTATTTCCTAGTTTCTTTTTGCTTTTAGTCACCCTAAGGTGAGTTCAAACTGAATGAAAGTCTCTTACCATTGAACTATTTCATGTAACTGTTAGAGAAGTTTTCTACACTTACTGTCCATCCTCACTCCATATTGCCATGCACCTATCCCCAACCTTCCATGAGTGACTGGGCAGAGCAGAGGCAGAACTGTCAGAACTTGCAAGAGTTTCCGAAGGTTGTGTTGAAAGGAGATCTTTGGTTAACTCTATGACTTCCTAGAAAAGACACACACACAAAAAAGAGACAACCCACAAAGAATAATTTTTCAGACTCTTGTTACCACACATATTTCTACCCCAAGCTTACTGGTTTGGGTTTGGTTTAAGTTACTGTACTAAATTCAGAGCTGATGCAAAGTGGACTAAGTTTGGTTTGGGCTTTTAATAATTTGATTGAACTCATTCATTACAAATGTAGATAAAAAGATGCCTGGTCCTCACTGCACTGCAGTAAAGCTGCCCATGCCCCCCTCAAATTTCCAAAAAGCAGCCTATTATTAGTATAGCATTCCTCTCACTGGCTGAACTGCAGCACCTGGAGCCAGGGGGGGAGAGTATCTCCAGGACTGCCAGGCTGTTCCTGGAGAGCATTCAGGTGCACACCAAAGAAGTTCATTTCCTTGAGTCATTTTGATAGAAGTGTTTGTTTTCCCCTAAATTCCCCGACCTTGAGATTTCAGGTCAGGCCTCTCTTGCTAATCCAAGATGACACATCAAGTAATAAAATTTCCCAGTCCCTTTACACACTACTCACTCACAGGCAGGAACATGCAAATCTCCTCCCCAGCTTCCTGCCAGTATTATGTTCAAACCCAAGCAATCAATGCTACTCCTTTTCACTACTGTTAGAAGTCAAAGGCACCAGCACCTAAAAGGCCATTTAAACTTTCTGCATAATGCACAGGAACTCTGCAGGCCTTAAAGAAGAATAATTCTTCAGTTCTTTGAGTACCTCAGCACAAACCATTGTCACACCCCTAAAAAACTGTCAATATTTAAATCAGGGGAGGGTTACAGATAAACAGTGTTCAGCTAAGGCTCAGTGGAGCCTGAACTTTCCTCCCAGTCTCACATCTTAGTTCAGCTATGGGTGTGCAAAGGCTCAGGAAAACACACTAAAGCAGCACTTCCCAAATAAGAATACAATATAGACTTTCATTATTTTTAGCTGATAAAACACAGAACTAGCACAAATGGCCTATCAGTTTGTTGCTGTTGCAGCTGTTGATGTCTGAATTTCCAACAACTTCCTAACAGAAGTTCTGCTCTTTGCTTCAGAGGAGCTGCTCATTAATCAGTGCAACAGTGAGCACAATCAGCAGCAAGCGTGAGCACAGAAACACACTTGCAATTATTTTTGCTACTTTGGTCTCCACTTGCCACAATACTACAGCCAAAGCACAATTATCAAGTACCTAACTTGAGAACATGCAGCATTAGCCTCATTTTCCCTCCCAGCTGCAAAATCCCAAACTATCCCTCACCATACAGATAGTTGTATTCTGCAAATCCAAGAGGCATCATGGTTTGAGGCAGGTACCTGTCTCAGCAGGTCACATACAATACATCAGGCACAAGCTATACCTGAGAGCAACTGGTTCACCCACTGCAACTACCAGTAAGGGCAAACTGTTGACTTGTTCTTGCCACACAGACATGGCTTGTTACAGAACTCAGAGGTGAACAGTTTCAGACAAGCCTACCAAGGATCCTCTGAATTTGATAAGGCCACTCACACACCAGGCTATAAACAGCAAACTTTTGGTAAAAATCTTCATCCAATATCCACGTAACACAATGCTCAGTGCACAACAAGAGAATTTATTGCAACTCATGAGACAGTTCTAAAGTCTTTAGGAGACCAGATCATTCCAAGAAAATTTCTAGGCAGGACTTAGGCTACCAGAGCAGCTCAGTGCAGCCAAATGGGCTGAACAACACGGCTTGCTGCCACATCCCCATGACATGGAGGTGTGACCCTCAGAGAACACTGGTTAGATAGAGGCTGCCAAGATTTTTCCTGACCAATTGGTCTGTAGGAATCCAGGCAGAGCTCCTCACTCCAGAACACAACACCCACAGATCTCACCTCCAATCACAGAATATGGCAACTGCCATTCAACCCTGCTCAACAAAAAAGTTTGGTTCTTGGGTGCATAGACACTGTCCTAGAAACGCTTCAGTGAAAGAAAAAGTGGAAAGCTAAGTACAAATGAATATTTCTTCTAATATTTAATCCTGTTATTCAAGAATAAGCTAAGTATACAGGATGCAGTAGTGCATCACTATTTATAATAGGAAAAAGTGTTTCAATTACAAAGCACCAATCTTTTTGAACAGCCAAAAAGCTGCTCAGTTGGGCCACTGAGGCACCCAACCCATTTTTACTACTGTTTGTTTAGTTGGCACAATCAAGTCTGCAAAAACATTATGTCATTGTCAAGGTGGAACATATGGATAGCAAACCTTTTGGGGACGAAAGTGTAAAGATCTTCCCCATTCTGTGAAGAAAGCTTTTATTAAAAAGTTTGCAAGTTGTCCTTTCACATCAATGATCTCTGCACATCACGGCCGAGGTCGTGTTGGTATCGGAAATATCATCCCAAATGGGTTTTGCTGTGCATTTTAAAAATATAAAAATATACACATGCTTTTAACAGTGTACAACGAAGCACATTCAGATGATCTACAAAGTGCCTTGTGGGCACAAAGCCTTTGTGATTTAAAAGAAACTCTAAAGATCACCAATTCGAGGCAGTGCTTGTGTTTGGGCTGAAGCACCATCGCTATGGCTGTCATTCCCACTCGGAATGTGGTCACTGGATCCTGCACTCTGTGCCTTTGTCCATTTCTACACCTGATGGCTAAAGCAATCCACAGCAGAGATGAAGCAGAATCTTGCACTCTCATGGTAAATTTTAGCAGCACTGCTCAGGTTTTGCATATGCCAGTGTGTCTCTATATGCACAAGGACCTCGAAGGCCACTTACACATTTAAATGTGGCTGGTGGTGATCTGTCTCCAAACCATACCCCAAGGGCCAGAAATGGGTTTTAGCTGTTAAGAATGTGGTTTTCTTTTGTGGCAAATGAAAAACACACTTCTTTTCCTTCCTTGTATAAGAACCTTTACACAGTGAAGGCTCAGACGCACAAGGAATACAGAACTACACCCCAAAGCTTTTAACACTGCAAGTGGATTTAGGGAGTAAGCAGGTTCTGGATCAAGTTATTTGAGAACTCAAAAGTAAGCACAAAGGCATCATGTGCTTACAGGCCCAACCACCAGGCTCCAGCATCAGTAAAAACCACGAAATACAATGACTCTGAGAAATGCTTCAGGAGAAAAAAAGACAGAGTAAAGACAGCACTGGCATATCTTTCACCACTCAGGCTAAAGTTTTCAGCAGAAAAGTTTGTTGCATAAATTAGTACATGTTTTTCACTAATCTAAAAAGACAGGTTTAAAATAGGCTACACTTTTGAGTTTTTTCAACCCTACCATAACTACAACAAACCATGTGAAAAGTAACAAACCCACCAAGTATATATTTTTGTGACAACACAAATAGGGAAGATGGAACACTTGCTAAAGACCCCATAGTCTCACCTGCCCTCAAGTTCTCACCTGTAAGTCTTTCTTCAGCTTCAGCAAATCCTCATTGTCTGCATTCCCAGATAAGGCAGCCTCGACCTGCTGGAGCTGAGCTTTGTAGCTAGCTAACTGCTTGGCAAGGTCTTCTGACATCTGCAGGGGACACACACACACAAACCCACGTCAGAACAGGATCTGCTGCTTTTTAAATCACACCTCGTGGCGCAAACGGCGCAAAGTAACAAAGAACAGGAAAAAAACTGTTACTAAAATATTACGGTGCAGACGCTTCCGCGGGGATCCGCAGGGCTCGGGTACCCCCACGCCGTGTGAGTGAGTGTGTCTGTGTCTTTGTGTGTGACTCTGTGTGTGTCTGCCTGTGCCTGTGAGCCCATGTGTGTCTGTGGTCTGTGTGTGCCTATGGCCTGTGTGTCTGTGGTGCGTCTGTGTGTCTGTCTCTGGTCTGTCTGTGTCTCTGGGTGTGCCCCGCGCGGGATCCCGCCGCCCGT